CCTTTTTTTTTAAAAAAAAAATTAGAAGTTTATTCATCAATTAAAGATGGGTACTTTTGTAGACATTGGAAGCAAACAAAGGGTGGGAAGCATCGAGATATGGAGCAAGAGTGATGATGATGATGATGGGAGAGAATGCATGGACGCCACTTGTTTAATGGAGGAGGTGATGGAATGGAAGGTGATGGATGCCACTTGTACAGAGGGTTTTAGTCCTTGTATTCATAGACAATTTTTCTCACCTCTCTTTTCTTTTTGTCTCTACCTTAATTGGCCGTTACCATACGTGTGAAGCCAGAAAATCAAGAAAACAAAAAGAAGAAGAAGAAGAAGAAGAAGAAGAAGAAGGAGAAGAAGAAGAAAGAAACGATTTTCAGCACTTTTCATCATCTTATTTAGTTAGATTGTTTTGGATTTCTTCCGGGTTTTTTTTTTTACTAGTTCAAAAAATTGGAAGAAACCAAGAAGAAATTACAAAGTGTGTGATAATTTATGTTCATGTGGAGAATCTTGAAAATGAAGGGATGAACAGAGACTGGTAAGAGAAGACTCTGCATGTTGCATGCAAATGGATAATGATGTAGAAGAAGACGATTATTCTGTTGATGCATGTCAATATACATATATATATATATATATGTACATATGGGTTTTACCAGAGTTTGAGTTAGGGAGCTTGGTGTATCCACGGAAGGCTCCACGTTCCATCTCTTTCTTCTTCATTCTCTTCTTAGCTTGCTATGTAGTAAAGTGATCCTCTCCGTCTGTATGTATGTATGTATATATATATATATATATATATACATACATATATATGTGGGTGTTGGGATTTCTGATTTGGGTTGGAGTATTTACAGGCAAGTGTCGATATTTATAGTGCTGAAAAGTTGAAGAAACGTACGTGTCGAGAGGCGATGTAAACGAGGATATTCAACTCAAACCTCATTTAACACTTTCACCATCCCATTCCTCCATTTTGCTCCCCCACTTAAATTCACTTCTCCCTCCTTCAATGTTCAAAAATATTCAAACATTAATTAATTTTTTAATAAATTTAAATATTTTATTAATTATATAATATACTTACACACCAATTACAATAATACAACTTACTAACGAACGTAGAATTAAATATCTCACTAAATTAAATTAGATTCATGAATTTAAAAAATAATAAAATTCTTTTATTTCCCTCAATATTTTTTCAATTCGAAAATTTGAATTGAAGTTATTTCGTTAATTCGTCTTAAATTATATTCATTTATTATAAAGATTTCATTTCAATTGAAATTTGATTATTCAACGTATATAAAGATTTTGACTAAATATCTATAATTTAATGTTTAAAATATTTTACAGTCCGATTTGAAACTACATCGATAGTTTATCACAAATATAAATACGAATTTATAGCCGAACTTGAATTTATATCGTATAAACATTAAATAATTTTGTTAAAGGGAAAGCGATTATTTTTCTAAATTTTTTAATTCTAGTGCAAATAAGTTCATTTTAAAATTTTAAAAATTTAATTTTAATGTAAATTTAGAAGAAAATACGTGACAAATACAGAATAAATATATAATTTTTATATAAGTAATATTTAAATTCTATGTGTATATATTTAATTTAATTAAAAACATAGTAAAAC